AAAATGCTTGTAGGGCTGAATCACCCATTCATTAGTATCTGTGAATAGGAACAGCAGCCTGTAACAGTGGAACTCCATGACCTGAAATGATTGTTTCTTACTATTTGGTTTATGGGCAGGTTTAACATCACAATTCTTTTGATAGTATGATTCTCAGCATTCATAGAAGTGAAAATCTATACAGGTTTTTTTTTAGGTGTTTGCCTTCTAACAGCCATGACTCATAGAGAAAGTCCCTCAGATGTCACCCACAAGCCCTTCTGTTTTTCTAGGCATTTGATGGCTCTATCTGACCCTCCCAGCCCACAGTCCGTGTCCCACTTAGCTCACTACTCTGCAACCAGTTCATCCATGCAGAAAACAAACATACTGATGCTTCTATTCCTCCCTTTCCTATTCCAAAGCCACCCTGGGACTCCAACGACCAGGCTGGACTCCTTTCAGTGCTAACAACTGTTTTCAATCATGAGCAAAGCAGGATTGATGGGCAACAGAAACCTTATGCTTTCTTCACCCTAGGAAGTTAAGATTTCACCAGTCACTTGCAAACATCCCACTGAGACTAGTTCAGAAGTGTATGTTTATTAGAGTTTCTTCCACCTGGCAGAACAAACATGCAAAGCAACCCATGGCTTTAATAATTTACCCTCCATGGGCACAATTTGGCCATACAGCTAATTCATACTGTAGATTCGGCTCAGTGAAGCACTGCAAATTATCCATATAAGCAGAAAAACCACTTCCAGAGAGTAGATCTAGGTTAAGCAACATTCAAGGATCTGCACGCAAGACTCTCACCACATTGAACAGTGAAGACATTAACACCATGATAGATTGGAAAGGTGCACCAAATGTATTTATTTACTTAGAGCACAGAAAAGACCCAACTTTTCATTCCCAAAACAATCATTAGGTAACAGTTGAAAATTAAAACTCTTCAAAAGTTCTCAGGAATAGCTTGTGTTGGTATTGTTTGTTTGATTCTTGAAATATTTAGACATTTGGAATTTAAGGGAATGCCAAAACCCTTCAACTTACTGGTAGAGAGAGGAAATAAGATAATTCTAGGATATTCCTACCATTTAATTTTAGTTCACACAATAAAAAACATTAGTCCCAATCAACTTGCTCATCTCCTTGTGTAGCTATAAACTGAGCATTCAACTTCATGAGAGACCACTGAGTTTTCTAAGCAGCTGGTATACAGTACAGTCTACCTGCCTGGCAGACTTGAATTCATAATCCTCAGCTGAAAAAAGTAACGAAGAATGAACGGTTTAGTCTGATACTATGAATCTCAGCTCTTTTAAGACATCAGTTGATACCAATTGCAGTATAAATCTTGCTCAGCAAAGTAGAAGGGGTCTATCCACTTCTTTGTATTGTCAATTTAAAAATGCCTGTTAAATAAAGCTTGGGATGCACTCTTTTAAACATTTCTTCCAGGTTTATGGACAATGTCACCTTTTAGTAATTAAACATTCTCTGTAGCTATGATGATTAGGAACTGAAAGAATAACACTATATACAGGAGTACTACTTTCCTTTCTAAGATTTTGTTCTTGCAGGTTACAGAAATGCCCCCCAGGTAATTTTTGTTAGAGAAAATGGTTCTTGCAGCCATTCTTAATGAGGAAGACACAGTGACTTGGACAGGTTTAGGTCTATTAACATAAAGGGGAAAAAAAGTAACTTATTAGGAACAAACTTCATTGCTGGCAATAAGCTCCAACTGAGTTTAAAAAACTTCAGTAAGACACTGTAATTAAGAAATGCAGCACTTTTTCAGTTTAAATGTAATTAAAACTTTTTTTAAAAATTCTTTTTTATTAACATTACCACAAAAAAATGGGTCACCACATCTGAGGAGTGTAAGTGAAATTTTTGAAACAGCACTAAATTCTAGTTAGGAGAGAAGCATTTCTAGAGTTTACTAGTTGTTGAAAAATAAGTTCAACTACTAACTGCCCTCTTGAGAAACTTAATCTGAACCAAGAACCAAGAATGTTGGTAGCCGGCATTGCTGCAGAGATTTGAGTGTCATTCCTGGAGAACTGGGTTTAGTGTTCTAAATTCTGTGCAACAGACAATTTAATAAATATTGAACTTATCATGTAATGAAATAAACATGTGCCAAGAACATTGCTTGCAAAAAGATGAAAAATATGAAAAGTCTGTTACACTACAGGTATTGTTTATTCTGACATAAAACCCATTCATAGAAAGCACCTTAGTGGAGCAAGTTATACAGCTAGATGGCATATACAGACAGATGATTTTTCCCTCCCAGGTAAGTATTTAATCACCTTAAGTAAGTGTCACACAGGCGAACTGGTTTAAAATACTTTTCAGCTACCTACAGGAAACAAGTGACTCTTCTCTCCTCTAACTTGATACATGTTGGGAGCCCACATTGCAGTTAAAAAGAGTGAATATCCCATCAAACTTGCTTGACAACCAATTTAGATATGCCAGCTTGATGGCTGTGCTTCAGATCATGTTGGCCTTCAGTTTGGAAGTTCAGCAGGGTGAATATTCTACTATTTTCAATTCTAATAAGGATAGTAAGGTTGGTTTGGTTTTCTCTCAGAAGCAAATTTCCATTTGCATATGCTCCAAAACAATTCAGTAATCAAAAGAAAAACATTGTGTCTAGAACCGGCATAAACATATTGTCATGAGGCCTCCTGGGTCTAATTACATCCACCTGGGTGTGCTTAGAAGAAAATTTACTTATCTTTCTTTACTTATCATTTAATTCAATGGGAACTTTAGAAGGGCAAAGGGAGGAGTTAATTTCATATGACCTATGAAGGTCTTCAAAATTTTCATTGTGTAGGGATTTTTTTTCTAGGTGATGCATGAAGAGAAAATGAATGAAGTGGCATTCTTTAATCCAAAACTGTCGAATACTGGGGTTTCAAGGTAAGGCCTTACATAGCTCATAAAAGTCAGCTTAAGTCAAAACATAGAGGCAATAGACAGAAAATCCATGAAAATCAGTGATTAATTTAAAAAGGACATTCCAATGTATTTTTTCAATGCATAATACATTTGAAATTTTTGCAAAACAAAATTATATCAATTTTAAATAAATAGTAAAAAGGGGAGAAATATATATTTAATAAACACACCAAGTAGAAACAGATTGGAAAAGGAGTACGGCACTTCTTTCACATATGATTGCACTTGCCCGATTACTGTAGCTGCACTACCAACATATTCAACTGTTGTAATTCTCATTACACACCCTACAACTGATTTGAAACATATATTTAAATAATTGGATTTACTTTTTGTATTTGTACATTGATTCAGATATTTGTAATTGTTATTCTTTATATACTGCAATAGTGATGAAAGCGTGAGAAGACCACAGGTCAATACCTAAATCCAAGTGAAAAGTTTCCCCAACTGTAAAAAATTATATTTCTGATAATGCTAGATCCTGAAAAAGGCAGTTTTACAACCACCCTTCAGGACATCATAATAAAGAGAAAAATGTGATCACTGTAGATAAAACCATTACCTTCAACAGCGCCTCCTGATTTAACAGAGAGATTATGTAAGAAACCCCTTGCCTCCTTTCTAAGCCACAGTTGACAAGGATTCTCCTTTTCTTCCATTCAAAGTCACATAGCAACTGCAATTATTATTGTTTTTTACCTACAGCATGTTAAGAACTTCACATATTTTTAATTATGCCCCAACGCCAAAGATCAGAGTAGAATCAAAGTCATTCAGCAGGTTTCCTGCTATTTTTCTACAGTCAATCATTTCTCTGAAAACTGTAGCTGGCCAAACCACCGATATGTCAAAGACCTGAACACCGAGTGGCTGAATCACACATTTCTAACTCTTCAGCCTCTCTTAGATTGCCTCTGTATTCTACCCAAAAGCGCTAGAGTAGCTGTCTGAACCAAGGACACTCCACAGCTTGGAAGATTAAATTCTTATTAAGCATAAAAATAAAACAATGTGTCATAGACTTTAACAGCCAAAAGGGCCAGGCAGATAATCTATTCTGAACAGCGCAACACAGACCATCACTTTTCATCCAGTAGTTCATGCATCCATTTGACTAGTTCGGTCTGAGCAAAGACATTTTCTCTAAGCTGATTTTTACTGAAGTTCACTTTGTAAGTCCTGCCATTGAACATGGCAGAGACTTTCTGTCTGCATAACTCCTCCCACGATACAATCCTGATCCTGAGTAGAACGTAATATTCTTCTAAAAATTAAATATTAAGGTTGTGTCATATTTGCTTCTGCTATACTGATGTCTTTTCATTATCCCATGTTCATGAACCTTCTTAATTAAGGTTTATGACTATGTGACAAAACATCTTGGACTTGGTTGAAAACTTTCATTTCAGCTATAACACAGCATCTTGTGATCCTTTCACTGAGGTTGTAATTTTTAAGAGAAATCATACATTTTCCTTCTTTTTGTACCTAATCACCTCAAATGATACATGCTGATATCACCTTCAAGTCTCCAGCTACTGATCTACTTTTTACCTACCTCAAATCACTTCTAAAGCCTTTCAGTGCTTCCTCTGTTAACAAGTTATTATTTAGGTATCTATTCCTATATATTTTGCAGCTACAATTCACTCTTGACATTATCCCAACCATTTTTATAACTGTATTCCAATCAATTTACCTACCTAAACAGTTCAGGTGCCTTGGGGGATTGAATTACACCCACTGATCATAACCTTTGTCCAATCCAAACTGTGTAGATCCTTCAGCATTTGAGGGATTTAAACAAATCTCAGCAAGTAAGCATGTTAAGGGGTGGAAGTCTTTATTTTTCTTTCTGTCAACTAGATACCAAAGATAGAAGTTTGATGTTGACATAATAGAATTACCATGAGTATTTCAAGACTGCAAGTGGAAAGAAAGTTTACTAGGAACTAGGCTTCCAATTTAGACAGGTCAGTGAAGGATAATAACATTTTGTACAGTAGAAGGGACAATAAAACACGAAAGGCAGCAACTGGCAAGCATGGCAGCAAGGACAGGTCACTCTTCCAATGCGAACTAAGCACTGGACCTCATACACGTTCTAAACGCAACCATCAGTAAGATCTACTATGTAGCAGACAGGAAGGAATACATAGGATAGTGAAATACAGGAACTGTGAACAGCAAAGGTTAGTTAGAAGATGCCAGTTATTAAGCAGATTTACAGTTGTGGTAGTTTGGTCTAGGCCTTCCTTGGTGACCAGTTTGTAACCAAGGAAGGGTCCAGATTTACCCAGTATTCCCTACGATTTTTACGTAAGACAGACTATAAGAAGAAAGGAGGAGAGGCCTTCGCTCTCTTTCCTTCCGGCGGCTTGGAGGTGCAGGTTCCCTGCTGTTGAGTCTGTCGTGTTGGGGAGCGAGGCCTGGTAAGGTCTTGTCGACCTTGGGAGACGGAGGTTGCCGGCAATCGTTCCAGAGCGACTCTCAGTTGTCCCAAGGAGAGTAGTGAGATATTTCTTTGCTAACTCTTTTAGTTGTTAGATATTGGGCTACTAATCGGGATATATATATATATCTTTTATTTTGGTTTTGTTCCTTTTTTTTCCCTTCCCCCTTCCCGTTCCCTTGTGAAATTGTATATATATTTCAATTGTATATACCTGTAACGTAAGTGTAAATATATTTATATATATATATTGCTTTATCTCTCTCTCTCGTTTCGTGTTTTCTTGGTTGTTTTTCTCCCTCTTCTTCCTGAGGTTTGGGGAGGGGACGGGACTTCTTGTGGTAAGGTTTGGAGACTTGGCAGGGAGCCAGCTTCAAACCATATCAACAGTGTAGTAAAAATAGCAAACAAATTAAAAAAAAAAAAAAGACAACAAACATCATGACCTAAAAGGACAACGTGATTCTTTTGTGGATTTTTAAAGGACTTGAAATGGATACAGATTTTGGAATACGCTATATATGCTTTAAAAAAAATAAATAACATCTAAAGTATCATGATGTGAAATACAGCCCAAAGAACCATTCACATATTGAGACCTTGAATACATCTTTCCAGCTGTAATTCATTGGGTTTCTGATATGTACCTGGGAAAACAAGGAAAGTATCTGTAATTGCTTGCAATCAGTAACCTTGCCCAAACGCTCACACACATCACACACACACACCACACACTCCCGAGGTGGGGTGGGGGGAAGAGAGGAGAATCAAAGGGGAAAAAAAGTAAACTTCATGTGTTGAGGTAAGAACTGTTTATTAACTGAAACAAAATATATCATAATAAAAGTAATGAAAAGGACAGAAAGGAATAAAACCTTTGAGAAAAGAGTGATACACAGCTGCTCACCACACACTGCTTCCAAATCATGCGGAGACGGAATGTCACGTGCTCAGCTTCAGGTGTTTGGCTGCACGGATCTGCTCCGTGATGGCAGTGGCTGCTCTCTCCTTACCCATTGCCAGGGCAGCACTCCACATCTCAGTAGAACACTTTAAGTCACACCCAAACCTCCTCAGCCTTCCTTCTGCAGAACACCCAACAGTAAGTTCTCTTCTTCACTAGATATTGAAAGGCTTTAAAGTCAGAGACTTTTATTGTCTTTGATGCTAGCACTTCAGATGATCACAACCTTTGGACCAGCATTCTTTTTGAAACATCCGTCTCCAAATTGAACCGCGGTACATTTGAGAACAGATGTTGGATGGAAAGTAGACTACTTCCTACTAGAGCACGATTGCTACGCAGGGCTATGTTTTAGCATAGTGCATCCCTTCAGAAACACAACTAAATATCATCTTAGTATCTCCTTTACTGATGCAGAATACTGAAGTGTCTCCTCCAGAACAGTTTCAAACCTTGGATGTACGTGTATCTTCTGTTTTTATTTAAGTAGCAAAATATAACAATTAAAAAAATCCACTTAGAAGAGTTGATACTTGCAAATAGATCCATCTGCAAGGCTTTACTGCAGAAATATATTTTCTTTTCAACTTGTAAAATAGGGATTGGAATTTTGTCTGGCTTTGGTTATTGGTTTATTTGGTAATTTGGTTTGTTGCTATTTTTGGTTACTGCATAATTATATCAGGGTCACTTTGGTTTTCAGAATACTTATCTTCTGACTAAGTATACTTTTAATAGCACTACTACCATGCAGGAAGTGTTTTCAAATGAATGATTTACATATTCTTAGTGATTCTGCCTTTCTAATCTCAAAGAGCTCTGTAATCAAGCAAAAAGTGATTCTTACTGAATTTACAAAGCAGTAAGAGCTCAAAGCTTCTCGGTGTCCAACAGCTCACAAGGAGGATTCTCATTTTGTTTTTTTCCACATTATCAACTTCAAAATATTCAGCTTTCAAAGAAAACTCAAAATGGCCAAAATGTGTGAAGTATGAAAATAAATCGCCATTTTCTTCAAATAGCAATGACAGCATTCATTTCAATCCTTTGCTAGTTACTTGCAACTGTATGCTATAGTTTGTATTTGTACATTTTTCTGTTATGTATTTTACTACAGTTCTCCTGACTAAGAAAAGGGAAGAAAATATAGTTTAAAGAAATTTGTAGTACTATTAATCAAGAGAGGTCATCATGGCTGGGCTTCGCGAACGAAGATTTGGGAAGGGCTCTACCCACGTTTGTTGCAAGCGCATTGAATCAAGAGAGGTAAACTCACAATAATGAAGTAAGCCAATGAAGAACAAAGGCTTTGCCCCATACCCTTATGTTTCTTGCACTTCAGTTTAAGAATTTTCATTCAGAGAATGTGTGGCTATATTCTCTTCCTTGTAACAGAGACTTATTTTTTTTAATTTTGTGCTTGAATTCCTAAAAATAAGCTTGTTTTGCTAATGTAGCAATCCTTTGTAGGATATGTGAACAAACAGCCCATTGCTACCATAACAGATTTCAAAGCCCAGGTAAAGATCAAAAAGGAAGAGCTAGAAGTTTGATGGTTTGATGTCTACACGACCAGGGTTAGAGTTGAATCAGAAATCACATTCTCCCTTGGCTGGGAAACACCACCTGCATTCAGTGCCTTGACAACCTCATTCTTCTCCCAGCTGTTTCACTTAGGAACATGCATCTCATTGCAGGTCTGACAGAGTTTCATTTCTGTCGAAAGGTTCTGTCATGTCCGTTGAGGGACTTCCAACTCAGGTATTCGGGAATGCAAAATTAGAGGACAGCTACCATTTCCAACGACACTTCAAAACCCTAAAGTCAAGTTTCTTAACCATCTAATACATCCAGTGGACTTCCACACACCAGGAGGGGTGATGCCAGGAGCTTAACCAACAGTAGAAACCAAGCCCATGGTTGTTTGTCACTCCTTGTTCCTTGGGCCTGGGACAACCATCACCCTGCAGGACCCAGGCATGGAGCCTTTGCCCAGGGTGAATTTCTACAACTCCTTTGAATATAAGATATCCAAAGGAGTCAAAGGCTTGGTATTTTACACAAAGCAGTCCCTAAATAAACTAAGGAATACTTCAAGGAAGATAAAAGGAACAGTGAACCTGGTGGATCCTCTTCTAACAACATATGATATGTTTTATTTTTAAAGCCTGGTATTGCACTACCCCGTGCAAGTTATGGCCCATAAAAACACTCTCTATATAAGAAACCAACATTTTACAGTTAGTCCAAAATCTTAACAGTAATCAAACAGTCTTTAGTCCAGTCACAGTCTTAAGAGTCTAAATCATTCCATTATTGTAGAGAAAATAAAACCTCTAACACAATATAAATAAAACCTCTAAAGCCTTTTTGAGATCCAGCTACAATAATCCAGTTACGGCTGCTGCATAGAGACAGAGAGACCTGCTGCCTTAGAGACATTGCTGCTCTAAAGAAGGGATCTGTTCTTCTTCCCTCCTGGACTTTTATTTGGAGGTGAGAAGAGATCTGATCCGTTGAAAATACTTATGTCATGGTAGACATAGTTGAGATTGTGTGTATAATGTATTATAATATTTATGTGTAATGTATTATAATATTTATTTGTACAGTCATTGTAATATATTCCCTTTCCCCCATTCTGAGTCTCGTGTTTTGTCTGGAAAAAACACATCTTATACTAGGTTGAGATGGGGGAGGGGGCTTTGACTAGAGAATTAGATTTTTGAGGCTCTCAAACCATGACACATAATACGACTACTTAGTCATACACTAGATACTCATATACTCCCTTGTGTCTATCTTCCCTTTCTCTAGTGTTGCACATGCCTTTCCATTGCCCCTTCGGGTCCTGAGACCAAAAGCACACAGTCAGGGTCCCAAATAATTTATCAGGAGTTGGTGGATGCTGATGGTGGGGACTGTTCTGTCTTCTCTCTAGAGTCCACCTGGTGTAACACAACACATTTCCAAAAGCATTCTACTTGCTGTTCTTTCTTCATTGTCCGCAAATTCCACACTATAGCCAAATAATTATTTATATATAATGTGTGTTTACTGATACTGTATATTTGTTATTTCTTCTCTTATCCCTAAAAACTTGTTTTGTACAACACTTTAGGTTGTATTTGTTTAAGGATGGGCACCTAAAATTATATATTAATTAATTCTAAAAATAAATACTTATTATTTACTAGCCACTAACCACAGAAATATATCAGAATCATTATAAACTATAGGCAGTAGAGCACACAACTACACAAAGTCAGTCATTTGACAGATGCTGTTACAGTTGAAACGAAGCTTCAGGTGGGACAAGGCAAACTCAGAAAACTAAAGCTCAGTGAGTCGTCATGCTAAGGCCTTGCAGAATTAATACAAGTTACTAGCAGTGACAATACCATGTTTGTGTGGTTACAGGGCTATACTGGCAGCTGGGTCACTCTCCAGGGAGGGTGTAATATTGCCTTGAAACTCCTTAGGCATCAGGTAAAATAAAATTAACATCTTTTAAATCCCTGGGAGAGTACTCTAATAGCATGATAGAAAACACCAGTTCTGCTTAGAGCTTCCACCCGCTGCACAGTGGTCACTGCTGGACTGAAAGCAGTTTGTGTGTTAGGTGACAATGGGTGGAATTTAGGTAATCCAAAGCTGCATTCAGACAGCTGTTTAGCTTAGCAAGACACAGGAGGCTCCAGCCACACTCAGACATTGAAGAAACTTTAAAAAGAATATACACTAATAAGCTTTTAGATTCTTCATGATGAGACAGTTGTAGAGTATCGCCTTTTTTGATTATTTTCTTACATACAGGTGTCTAAACTCTGTTTATGCTCTATTTCAAGCACGAAACCCAGCTCTCTAAATCTAGTATCAAGGTACAAATGAGGAAGCTGATTTTCCTCAGCTGCTCATATAGAAGAGACAGACTACCTCCTCCAGAGGGTAATTTTGATCATAAGAAACTCACTTAATTACCATCCAAATACAGCTAAAAAGAAAATACCAAAAGTTTTTGCTTTGCAAATTATTTATTAAGAAGATACATAGATAATCAACCACAAAATGGGACAAAAATATCTGAACATTTTGAAGAAAACCAAAAAAAAGGTAAATCAGACAAAAATCACCTAATAATTGGGAAGGAACTTTCATTTCCCATCCTTAAAACATGCCATATAAAACAGCCTCTTAAAGCAGTGAAAATAGGTACTGGATGCAATTACAGCTTCAATATCTATCTTTCTTTTTTCAGTCTATTCAAAAAATGTCTGTGTATTCCAGGTAGTGAAGTGCATATCCCTTAGTATAGAGACAAATCCAGCTAGAGGAGGGAAAGAATGAAAGAAAGAAAAAAATAATACAAATAACACCCAAGTAATACAGCTGCTTAGTCTTCAGTGAAGTAGGCTTCCAGTCCCTCCAGTTCTGTATCAGCTGTTGTATCTGAAGAGGTGGGAGTCGAATTCAAATTCACGCTTTCCTGATTATTATTTTTTTGTTGAGAGTTTCCTGAAGTACTTAATTCCTTCTTTGGTTCTCTACCACCACTTAATAGCCTTTGACTCTCTGTAAAATACTGATTAGGATGATTCAAAGAAAACCCAATGTCATCAACCTGCACATAAAAAGAAATAAACATCAAGTTATTATATTTATTTCTAAGAGTCATCTTTTTCATATTCAAGAACAAATTAATTAACAATTTTTAAAGTTCCAATTTTGTTGAAGAAAAAGACAACAGTTTCTAAATACTGTCTCAGTAAATACTAGAGTGACACAGATCTAGTTTCATCACAAATTTTCTTCCTTCATGAAATAAAATAATTTCTTTGGCATATTCAAACATTATTTCACACTGTCATTGCTGTAGTAAAGAAAAGTAACACCCCAAAACATCTAAACCAATGTATGTAAAATGGCATCTCTTTAGAGATGTAGGATAATTGAAGTTACACCTTGAAACAGAATTTCCTGACGCAAAAAGGGGAGTCAGACAAGTCTAGAGTCCAAGTAGCAGTAGAGAATACTACTAGAAGTTGTGACAACTTCACAATATAAATCTAGATCTCAATTATCAGTGTGAAACTGTGAATGGAAACAGGTAGCTTCACCTCCTTCTGTTTTCCCCAGTAGCCACAAAGGCAATATTTACAAGCAGCAGGCTAAGACAGACACTCAACAGATCAAGCCTAGCTCTGTTCCATCAGTGCCAACATCAGCATCCCAAAACTAGAAGCACAACAAAGAACATTTAGTCTTCAGTGAAAAAAAATATAGAAAATTATTATAAGGTGCGGCATATTTGTATTTCTCCTATATATCTAGCAGGTACCTTTTTTCAGCTCTGCAATTATTTGATAAATGAATATTCAATTTCAAATCAACGAAGCTTTCAGCTTTGAAAGTAAGCTCTTCTACCACAAACCACAGTTATAATCTTTGTGCCTCTTTTGGGGGGCTCAGAAGTCAGAAATGCTCACTTTAAATAAAAGGTGCTTCCACCTTCTATTCAGGCAATCTGCACCTTTTATCCACCTGTCAGTTCATGTGAATTCTAAGAACATTTTGAGAAAAATACTGCTCTTAAAATACATTGGAAACTTTACCAAACATGGAATACAAGAAAAAATGGAAGACTAAGAGTCATATACCAGTAAATTTCTGCTCCAACTATATTCCCTTTTTCGCAGCAGGGAGGGGCCAATTCAAGCATAACAAGCAACTCTGCACACACAGAGTCTCCTGAGGACATACAGTGTGGCTAATTTAATATGCCAAACCCCATCAATTTAAATTTCAGCCTCTTGTGAATAATCATAAAGCAGAGGATCAGTGTGTACTCTAAATGGAACCCTGATTAAATGCATTACCACTGCCTAGCTTAGCTCCATTAGAAAATGGTGGCGTGGATAACAAAATCTAATTTAGACATGAATTAGAAACTGTAGTCAGTGACCTTGCTTGAAAAATCTTAAAAGTCAGTAACAGTCCTAGCACTCCAATTTGGTACTCTAAGGCATAAAGAAAAAAAAAAAAAACCAAAACCCAGAGCCATCATTGAACTTCATTTTTCATTTCAGTCTTATCTGGATGAGTTTCATCCAGACAGCTTTCATCCATGCTCCAGTTTTCATTACGTGGAAACTAAATTACTTCTTTATACCAAAAAGGCTTAAGAAGAAGTGATATAGTGCAAAACTAGCTTTTCTAGAAGAAGCTCTTAATTAGCTCTGGTTTTTTTTATCCTTAAAATCTCAGTTTTCTTCAGATCAATTTAAGAGTCACTTTGTAACTCTAAATTTTATTCTAAACTCCTCACTCCCAAAAAAATTGGAATAAGCTGTAGAAGCAGTTCATTGTATGAATGGGAGCCTACAATCCTGTTTTCAGAGGTGATTGATGGTATTTGGCTAAAAGCTACTTACAGGTTGTTAGTTAATATTGTTCTATGAGTCCATGTACCATTTCTCCTTTTCAAACCTGAATACTACTGGATGAAGCTTATACAACTCTTAATTAAAAAAATTCTGTGCAAACTATCACATTTTTCAAGTGCCTGAAGAGAGAAAGGTGAAGATTTGTTCATATCATCATCTTCATTTGTGATACAGAAACAATTCTGTTCTCTGTAATTTTCAACCAGGTTCAGTGAGTATTTCTCTGAATAAAAATATTCTGCTCTGGCTGGAAATTTACAAGAACTCTGAACACAAAAATGGAGGCTTTTTATGTTAGATTCCTCATGTTTTTACTTTATCTAAGTTTTACAATATTTTTAGGTAATGTAGATCAAAGTATATAAATTTTAAAAGCCTTGTCATTAACTTAGTTGTATGTTAGCTGAAACTTACTACCAGAAATAGATTTCTCTAACAGCTTTGTCCATTCACACCTGTAAATCTACCTAGAATCCATTATACCCAAAGAAAAATGTATTTTCTGTGCAGTTAAAAATTTAAGCTCATAACATGTATTGACCCAAGCAAAAGGACGTATCACTTCATACAGAACTGTATAACCCATCTAGTGGGCGATATTAACGTGGATTCAGCACATGTTGCACACACTGGCTTTCACACAAACTCCACTTTTGTATTTCTCCTGTAGCAAATATTGTTTTGAAAAACTTAAAGTATCCCTGGGTTTTAATCAAGAACTTAAAAAATGACAGCTGATAATGCTACAGGTGATATTACAGAAAAATCACACTTATGGTGCTACAACTTTTCTTTCTCACACTTATTAAAATAGTCAACAAATTGCATACTCATACACTAGTTCCTGCCTGAAGACAACGCACTGGACCACACAGATGATGGCTGCTTTTGTTCTGTGGTTGCAAAATTGTGAAAACAAAGATCAAGAGAGGTGTAGCATTGAAGTTAATAAGTCTAGGTTACACAGAATACAAAGAAAATCAGCTTTTTCGTAACCTGTGCTGTTTGAACCGTAGCACCAAAGCGTAAAGACAACTCTCATCACCAGCCTCCCAAAAAATATACCCAAACATTTTCACTCTAGTCCAGCTGTATTTTTTAGTACAGTCTCAGTGCCAAGGACTAGACTACAGAAGCTGACCCTGTGAACTTAGAAAAATATAATCTTATCAAGTCTCCACTAAAAAGTCATTCATACTTGATCTAACCCACATACACACCATAACTTTCAAGAATAACAGGTAACACTAACAGCTCTACTCAACATATATCAAACAGTTTCTTGGTAAAATTTTTACATAATTGAAGTTAAAATTCTCCGTGTGAGCCAGTCCATTATTTCTATGAAAATTTTACTTAAGATTGTTCCCCTACTCAAAGAAATAATCAATGTTAGGCTAATTGATTCTTCTGAAGCTTCTTTCACTGAAAAACTCTGCTAGTGATATACAGGAAAGCAAAGGTCAGAGACACATTTTTAACTACCCCATAAAATATAAAAAATTAATAAAGCATACAGTTGTAGGATAGAAAAATCACTCCAAGCAGGCCGGTAACAAGTTGAGCAGCTAAATTCTCTTAATAAAAAGCACGTGCCATGCAAACTACGGGAAGTGTCTTTCTCTGTATTCTGCTTTCTCTCATTGAAATAAGACATTTATTAACAGCAAAGCAGAAAGATGATTCTTCATGCAAGCAGCAAAGACAGATATTTATATTACCACAAGACTGATAAAAAATAATGCTGTTCTGGAATTGCCATAGAAGAATGGAAAGACAGTTTTCCTAAAATGCACTGTGCTGATTTATCCTTCATTGAACGTTGACCTTAGAGTCTATAGTCATCTTTGGAAAATATTATTTCTACTGACTTGGGCTTACACAGGCCAAGTGTTATCTAAATTTCAAATTGTACATAATTTTGAATTTACTTCCAGATTATTAGGCTTGTTGTCACATTTCCTAAGACTAAGAGAAAGTGTTCCTCTCAAATTACAGCTGCCAAAACAATTCTGGATAGAGGTTCAGAGTATACCTTTGCTATACACTCATATACATGATTGCTGGAAATTTGTGAAGAGAAACAGTTCCATTTAAATCAAATGTGGAAACCAGGAAGAACAAAAAAGTCAACCCTAAGTGTCTCTGGGTGGGTCATCTAATCCTCATCCATATCTTTAGCAACATACATAGCAACAAACATAGCCTGCTGTCTGAAAGGGACGTTTCCATTTCTTGAGTTGTGGAGAGAACAAAGCTATAAGAAGGGCTGTGCTTCATTGCTTTTTCTTGATGAAAGGAATTTTGAACCAGTGCAAAAGCTGGTTCTTTGAATCAAGAAATCACACAGGAGATGGAGTGTGGCCATTTGCTATCTTGAAATTTTCTGGAGGATCTTACTTTAACCTTGCTTGCAATTAAGCAAATGGGAAAGCTCTGAGAATGTTCATCTTGATTTAAAAAATAATCACACATGACTACAGATGTGAAAAAATACCAAGTAAAAATTAACAATATTAACTGTGAACAGACGGGGAGATCAGCTTAAATTACACTTTTTAGATACTTTCTGTTAATTTTTTAAGGTGTATCTAAAAAACATCAAACTTGCAAAATGCATTAAAAACCATAAATTTCATTAAAAGCAGGATATTGAGAAAGTGAAATGACTTGAAATTGTTAAAATTCAACAATATTGAATATTGTTAAAATTCAACAATAATTTCCTTGAAATTGTTAAAATTCAACAATATTGAATATTGTTAAAATTCAACAATATTTTCCTTTTCAGGAAAAAAGCATAACATTTTACTACATCTTGTAATTTTGAGGGTATTAATAACATCAATAAATAAATGCAGAAAATTACAAAAGAATATTTGAAATTATTGAAAACTAACAAGGCAAGACAGATAATGGTGGATGTGCAAACTGAAAATAGTCTCTGGACTTCAAGCATGATTTCCAAGGCCTTCCTCGACAGTCAGTGATAATAGTTGAAACAAAAATTAGTAGCTACTTACCTCATGTGTCAACTCAAAGTACTTCTGACAGGCCAGTTGGTAATGCATGCCCTTCACCAACTCCAGGATCTACACAGAGGGAGAAAAACGTGACGGATTCAGAAGTAGCACACATACATCTTGTTGATCTTCCACAACAAGGTATTCCACAACAGCCTTGTACAACAGCTCATGGACACTTGCAGCACATGACATCTGTGTATTCTACTAATAACTGACAACACTTAAAAATTCCCTGGCTACATTAAAAACAAGATAAAACCAAAGGAAGGTATGCCTGGTCCTTAAAATGTAATTTCAATACTCTTAACTTCAACAATAAGTTGAATCCATATTTTAGTAATATAATTGTGATGGTTATTGTCAAAGTATCATATTGCAACATCACTTCCAAAACTGCAGACATAAATCTAGTAATTCAAGTGGTTGAAGCATGAAGCAATCAAGGACACAACTTGTATTCTTATTTTCCACATTACCAGTTCATGGAGATGAACAGTAAAATACGGTGCTCCCATCAAGAAAATTTAATGCAAATCCTTTAGACAAGTATCTGTGAGAGAGGAATGCTTTTACTTTCAATCAGATTTGTCCTTTTTGAAATGAAGTTATTTCTAGTCAAGCTCAGCAGAATATGTGAGTGAATAGGCTGTTTTGAACACCTATTAGGAAAATCATGCCATCTTTTGTAAATACAATTTGCTTTCCAATTCTACTTCAGGTAATCTCTTCTGTGCTGCATAAAGTCCCATTCTTATCACCAGAATGCAATGCTGATTGAAATATTTTAAAGTTTCATCACCTCCTCCCTCCTTTATATAATCAAAATGTATGCTCTCTCTGCTTATCAAACAGAGAAAATTGCTGGAATTAAGAGATAGCCTCAGTGGAAGGAAAAATAGTTTTCAAGAAATGTTAATTTCAAGCCCTTTCCCAAGGCTGACCTTTGTGTCAAACGCAGCAATATACAGCTTAAATCCCTGCTGTACTCATTATCGGATGCTGCCTTGTATTTATTGACAGATGTATAAATAAATTACATTTGCTGAATGGATAAAAACTGCAACACAGTGCCAGGAAAGTACTTAGCCACATTATTTCTATGTAATAGCCCAACTGATTACATTTCTATCCCTCTCACCACCTCCTGTTACACCTTCTGTAAAAGAGCAAGGCCAAGGCCAACTAGGCAATGAAGTCTGAAATCTGGCACTATCTGGGTAGATACATCTATTTCTTTTTTAAATCTTCTCTCTCCTTGAAATTGACTGAAAAAATCTTTATTTCCCAGGTACACTTTTGTTTCGCCAAGGAAATACTGTCCTACTCCCTTGAAAATCCACACAGATCTTTCTGCTGTACTACTACGAAGACGTATCTTGGAAAACAGCTGTGAGAAGAACCCATATCAGCATTCTCCAGTGAAGTTTCATAACTAGGTCTTCATGCCACTTCTCTTCCTGACATGGATAGAGTGCTCCATAGAATAGATGCCCGCCAGAACAGTCCAGAAACTTTCACCCAGTTTGTTAAATTTATCAATGTACGTGATTGCACTGGTCATCATTTTACTCCTCTTCCTTTACCCTCTCCACCACGTCACCTCCCCAGATTGAAACAGTTGGCCAATTTCAGCCAAATTTGACAAGTAGAGATGACAAAGCTAAATGTTGATTAAAAGCTGTGGTTGGGTAGAAAAGTCAGACCAACGTTTGTGGCTCATTCAGAAAAAAAAAACAAAACAGTTATAGTTTAGCTCATACTCCTTCTGAGAGACAGCCACATGGCATCAATGATAAGCCTACTATTTAGTACACATGTAAGTTTAAACCAGTCACATCAGGGGGACCAGGTCCACCTTCCATGTATATGAAAGGACTGAGGAATAAGGGGCACATCAAACATATTCAAAGAAAAACAGTTAGTAGATTAACTTGCTTTAATCAGGGATCAAGTTATTAAGAGAGGAAACAAAAAAAGTTAAAAACTGCAATAGAACAGAGGCCAGATGGAAAGGAGTCATCTGTGTGAGAGAAACTATCAATTCTCTATTAAAATAAAACAGAATTATAAGTCATAATAAGTATTATCTTTTGTACATTTGTGTACATAACGAAAGCAAGCTTAGAGTTGTTTTTCACTAGTGTTACCCAATAACAGACCTCCACTCAAAACTTAATTCACAGCAGCAATCTTTTGCCTCTACATATATTAAGATATTCACACTGCATTGCTTTATTTTGCAAGCAAAGGTACATACTCAAGGACTTTGTTAGTCCTTATGAGCCTTTTCCTTCACTGCCATCTGCAACTTGCTTTTCTGATGTTGCTCTACTGACTACTAATGAGGGTAAGATGATGTTTGGCAGCTGCATGCAGCCACCTGCTTTTATAGATCCTCAGCACTCAAAGTTAAGATGTTTCATAGCAGGATAGTTGGGGCTCTGTAATTATCCATTATTATTTTCACTTACTCAAAGTAAGTTTGGGCTTGGTGGGTTTTTTTTTAAATTGCAGAATTAACTTACATTTTTAACATGAAAATCTTTCTACTATAGATTCAGTAATGTATGACTCATTTCTAACCTTCTCTGGAGGTATTTAAAAGATGTGTAGATGTGGCACTTGGGGACATGGTTTAGTGGTGGACTTGGCAGTGTTGGGTGATGAACTCAATCTTAAAGGTCTTCTCCAACCTAAAGATTCTATCATTCTTTTTATTTCAAAGATGGCTGAAGATATGATTGGGTGCAACTGCTGGAGATTATCTGAACACATTCCACTCTTCTCTTTCAGGCCACTCTGTGACCACCTCAACATTAAATCTGGTCCCGGAACTCCCCAGTGCCTTTTGTCTCCTGGTCAGTACAGTCATCTGTCCTTTCTACTGATTTCAGGTATTCCCTGTATGTTTTAAATTGATTTTGAAGGTTTCATGTTTATAATGTATGCATGTATAGCACAATATTCTCAGATAACCTCCAGACACACCTTTCAACCTCAACCATACTGTGATTCGATAATAAAGTCTCAATAGCACCTGACTACATTTTTATTACATCCTTTTGGTGGTCAGAATATTAAATCCAAACTATAAAAAGTACATTTTCTAGTTCAACCATGTACCTTCTGTACTTTCAATTGTGTTCCATGTATAATAAATCTGTGCACATACTCTAGAAGTCTTCTGTATTCTTATAGTTTCTTATTATTAGGAACCTTAACAATGACTATAAGTATCTGAAGGGAGGGTGCCAAGGCTCTTCTCGTTATTACCAGGAACTAGAGGCAACAGGCAGAAACTGATGCACAGAAAGTTCCACCTGAAGACAAGAAAGAACTTCTTTACTGCACAGTTGACCACACACTGGAACAGAATGCCCAGAGAGATTGTGGAGTCTCCCTCACTGGAGATATTCGAGAACCATCTGGACACAATCCTGTGCCATGTGCTGCAGGATGCCCTTGCTTGAGCAGGAAGGTTGGACCAGATGAGCCACTGTGGCCCCTTCCACCCTTCTGTGATTGTGTGATTATCAGTTAGCTGTGCTTCTCACTGTGTTTCTGCATATTTTGCATTCTCTCAAGTTTTCTTTTCCTATGCTGTATTTTTGTTTTACTGTCACAAGCCCGTTCACCAGTCACTAGTCAACATTTACTTTTTTTCTTACGTAAATCAGATTTTTGAACAGTCCATTCTAATATAATTGCATACAGTTTTTTTAACATTATAATCTCACCTGGAAATAGTTAGATATAACTTCTCATTTCTAGTACTTGTTTCCACTTATCAACAATAAACTGAAGACTGGGAAATTTAGGCATTGGAAATACTGTAAATCAAATTTTTAAAATAATTAGTTTTAGCCACACCATATTAAGATGTCTCGTCATATCGAGATATTAAGCTATGTCATGTTAACACTCTACAATATTGTACCCATTGATGGTGTCAGTAACAGTAACGCCCAAGGTGTCAGTAACAGTAACGCCCCAGCACCAACAAATACACACAAAACAAGTCAGATGGGAGCTTTAACATCAGAAAAAAAAGGGTTAGATTTGGCTGGTTAAATTTGCAATTGTGTTCACTCAGCTTATACACAAAAGTAATCCTAGTGAAATCAATAAGCATATTCATACTTGAAAAATACACCAACTACAAGACAATTAAACATACATACATGTATGCCATACATGGCATACATTCTGGATGAGAAACCATTGAAAATTTTAAGGAACTTTGATGTACCAAATTTCACTGTAATAATAAAATGGGTAGTACAGAAAATTTGTCTATATTATGAATATCAATTGTTCTTGTATTTTTCTTTCTGTTTTATATATTTCCCCAAAAAATACTGACTTAATAAAAGATATCTTGCTTAAACAGTACTTGCTCTTATTTAATCAGAACTTACAAAAGCCCTACCATGAAGATGACTGGTGCTAAGGCAAAATTCTTTAGCTGCAAGAGAAAATATTTTTACAGACAGCACTGATTAAAACTTTTCTAATATTAGACCATCAGAAGGGAGAGTGTGAGGTTTTTTCCAATGTGGTGGGGTTTTTGTTGGTTTTTGAGGGGTTTGTTCGGTGTTTTGGTGTGGGGTGTTTTTTTCATTCATGGAAACATACAGCCATATCAGAGGCCCAGGCACAGACTGGCTTGTTTATTTCTAGCTCTGTGTAGATGCTCCAGTCCCGCAAAACACAAATCTGTTGGAGAATATTAGACAAAGTTCAACAACTTAATCAAAACCTCTGATTTCACTCAATTATGGGAAAAAAACCCCTTTTTAAATTAAGAGAACACTTCTCCTAGAAAGAACATGCCATCTTCTGAAGTTATCTACTGTTCATTTACATAAGCATTTTTCCCTCAAGAAATGCTTTTCCTCCTAATAGAAAAGCAAAAAGAATGAGTCTAGAACCTCTATTTCTCCTGATTGCAGAACCACAGATTTTGACTATCTTTTGCTTTTGCTATTGTGATAGATGCAAATTGGGAAATGGGTAATTTCTCCAAGAAAACTTTCTGAAACCAATAATATAATATTTTGAAATAACTAGTTTAAACCCTATAATTTCTATCTTCCTATGTGAGATGTGCAGGCAACACACTACAGTGAATTTAGTACAGCAACACAACAGATGTATTTATCATAGAATCATGGAACAGTTTGGGTTGGGAGGGACCTTAAAGATCATTTAGTTCCACCCCCCTGCCGTGGGCAGGGACACCTCTCACTAGACCAGGTTGCTCAAAGCCCTATCCAACCTGGCCTTGAACACTGACAGGGATGGGTCATCTACAACTTCTCTGGGTGACCTGTTCCAGTGCCTCATCACCCTCACAGTAAAGAATTTCTTCCTAATATCTATTCTAAACCAGCTCCCTTTCCGTTTGAAGCCATCATTCACTGTCCTATCACTACATGCAATTGTTCAAAGTCCCATACATAAATATCTTAACATATATTTTCATCTATAGTCTTCAAATTGATTAGCTATTGTCAAACCTGATTTCATAAAGATTTTACCTAACTAGCACTATATAAAAGACAGAAATGAAATATGATCCAAAATATACTATAAATTCAAATGTTATACACTCACACATTTGATGCTCAGCTAACCATATTCTTTCTCTATGAAGTATTTTTAAAAGAAACAGAAAAAGCTACAATCACAAATAAAGAAATAGCCTAGCCTAAGGAAAATGTGAAATGAATACAAATTAAATAATTCAGTTTTTGGAATAAACATCAGGATTAATTCTTTCTGCTTTAGGCTACATAATAACTACAGAAGACCTGGAAGTTCTCTCCTGTATTACTTCCAGAAGATGACTTTAGCAGATAGAATCTTAGACAAGATAAAGCCTCAGAAAATATGGACTGCAGGTTGGATCTAGACAATTCACTGCATGAACATTCACATATTCAAATGTTCTGATCGCTTTTTTCAGTACTGACAGTACTACAAAATAGCCGCAATGAAAGCCATCTAAGGCTCCAACTGATTACTGAAGGCATGTATTTGCTCTGCACCATCATCCCAAGGTCCAGCATTCCTTTTTCACACCTAGTCCTGTGTGAAAAGCCCTTTGAGGATGGGGTTTGTTTCCACCCCACACCAGCCAATGCTTTATCTGTATGGGAATAACTCAGAAACTCTTCTGAATTTTAAAGGAAAGAGTGTATGCCAAGAGTATGGACAGCCCTTGAAACGGATGACTGAGAACAGCAGCACTACAAAACTAACCATCTTAGGTAAAATCACAGCCCTAAGGGCCCACATACTGGCTCACATAATAGGCAAGTGAGAAGCCAAGAGGAGAAAGTGACCTGTTCTTGGGCTTCAACAGAAGACTCTAAACCAGGAGGTGAAAATCCCAGTGGGAAACCAATTCATAACTACACAGTTAAATCCAAAATAAATGTTTGAAAAATTATGCATCATTCATAGAATTTTGTTACAGAGTGTAAGAGGCCCTGAGCCACAGAAAAGACATACCATTTATTAAAATACATAGCTGAAAGGTCAAGCTCTGAACGATTCATTAAAAATAGGAATCTACCAGGTTGTAAGGGAGCTCTCTTGGTAAGACTGACGGGGAGATAGACAACAGGTTAGCAAAGGCATATAGTGCTCTTGGAAAACTCCATAAAAGAGTATGGCGTAATAAACACTTGAAGAAAAGTACAAAGATCAGTGTTTACAGAGCCATAGTGCTGTCTACTCTCTTGTATGGTTCCAAATCATGGGTCGTCTACTGCCACCACCTGCATCTCCTAGAACACTTCCACCAATGCTGTCTTCACACAATCTTAAACATCCACTGGTCAGATTATGTGACCAACACATCTGTTCTAGAGCAAGCAGCAGTCACAAGTATTGAGGCCATGTTACTGAGAACGCAGCTGTGCTGGGCAGGGCACGTCTCCAGGATGAAGGACCAACCACCCCCTCCCTAAGATCTTGCTCTATGGTGAACTTGCCACTGGCCGCTGCAAGAGAGGAGCCCCGAAGAAAAGATACAAGGTCTCCTTGAAACAACATCTCAGCCTTGCCCATATTGATCAACATAACTGGTCTACTCTGGCCTCCAATCGGGAGGCCTGGAGACACCATCTATAACGCTGCTCTTTCCTTTGAGAACACACACAGGATCACTCTCAAGGAGAAAAGACAATGCAGAAAGAATCGTGCCTTGCAGAATATACCACCTAAGGAGTCTTTCTGCTGTGCCTTTTGCAACAGGACTTGTCTATCTCGTATTGGCCTTTTTAGCCACCAGCATGCTCGTAACAAACATGGATAGAGCCTTTCTAAATCTTCGTTCGTGAAGCCTAACCATGATGAAGGGAGCTCTCATTGGATCTGGAGTTAACAGGAGGTCTAAGAGAGTAAAAAGGTATGTATGGTTTGGGTGAATGTCAATCTAAAGACCCAGATACTGGAAAAGCAGCTACACCAGAGGCTTTGAGAGTGGTAAACCATCCAACGTCTAATATCAATTCACTGAGCTAAAGGAAAAATAAAACTTCTGATAATCATTAACTATCATCAGCATCTGAAAAGACTCTTAAAAGCTACGGTCTGGACTGAAGGATCTTTAATTGTTATTAATCATGCAACATTATTGGACCATGCAAACAGAGCAACAACAAGTGGCAGCAATAACGAAAACCTGGAGACAGATGTGAACTAATTTTCTTCCTCTTCTCTTACTGAATATCTCAAAGACTGATGTAAAAGATTAATTTCTGAAAACCCAGGCACAGTCAACTTTTTTTATTATTATTATTACTTGGCTTTGTGTGGAGGGTGTATTGTTTTGGATTTGTTTTAACACTAGGAGTGGACACTGCAGAGCCCTGTACTCTGACCACACTTAAAAAAGCACCACAAAATTCATGGACAGGACAGTGCCTATTTCCAGGCAAAGAAGACATTGATGGAAACGGTTTTTCTTAGTCACTTTTCGTAAGACAATTTAGGACTCCTAGTGAATTCCAATTCTACTTTACAAAGGAAAAAAAATACAGACACACAAAAAGAAAAACACAATTCACATCAAATAAGGAACTATGTTAAGTATAAAGATACTGCCTTACTGTGCAAATTCACTGGAGAAATAACCTCTACTAAATCCTATCCACACATACAGAAGGCTGCTAAACCAGTAAATCCTCACCAATCTTTCCAATGATTAGCAGGATAAAAATCTCAGATCAGCATCAATTTTTGATGCATATAAAAAGGAAAAAAGCCAAAGGAGAGTATATCTCATGTCAGACAGATGAAGGCTTATTCATATGAACCAGGAGAAAATACAAAAAAAAAAAAAAAAGAAAAAACATGACAAGGAAAAAGTCTGGATATTTCAAGAATTTGTCAAGAATGAATATGAGTGAACACTAAACTCTTTAAAACTATTCTCTTTTTATTTGTATCTTAATTATTCCTTCCAAGGGAGACTGCTTTAAGTGGAACTTTCACATTCTTTTCTATCTAGTTCGACAGTCTTTGGATGCCTGACAAGCAATGGTGACACTCCACATGAACTCAAGACAACAACTTAAAGTAAGTTTTTCCTATGGACCTAAAGCAAGTTTCAGGCAGTTAATATACACAACTGTTCGGTGAACTGTCTCAGCTTAAATCTAACCCGTATGTCTTCCTCCAGTGAAAATGATGGCAACCTTTCATTGCCTTAAGCTCTTGTTAGAGCAAGGAATGGGAGTCAGTTCTTCAGTACACACCTCAAAGTTCCAATTCCTCCATTGTCCTTGCTATACAAGGTAGGTTTTTAACTTAATGTTACATGTTTAAAAGCTGATAAAAATCTCTACATAATTTCACTAGGCATTTCATGTGCTTTTGTTATTTAAGGGAAGTTAGCACAATGGATAATTAAGAATATATGGGTTTTAGAAGTTTATTATAAAAAACAATTACATATGTCTACTGATTACACAGTAGTTATCCACAAGTCACTGCAAGAGTAAAAATAAATTCTCTAAAACACTGTCATATTAATTTAAACTTCTTTTTTAATCACAGTGCAGTACAACAAAATTTTGCATTGTATCCACCATAGTAATAAACCAACTCATAATATTAAACAATAAAAGCTGGTGACGATAATCATCACGTCAGCAGGAGCACTGCAGCCATAAAGCCAAGATTCTGGTTTAAACCTTCCATAAGAAGAAATATTTCACAATACACACTGACAAATTGCATATAGCATTCCTACACAAATAGAAAGTAAAATTGAAAATCAGTGCGTTATTAATTAAAGTGTCAAGCAAAATACGCCTTACCTGAGTTATTCCACTGGGAGGGATCTTGTATGACTGCAGCTTTTGCTTCAGTAGCTCAGGATCACTGTGTCGGAATGGGCACCCTGACAGTAAAAAACAAGCAAGCTCACAAACAAGGCTGTTTACTCAGGAGTTAGTGCAGTAAGGCACTCAAGAGACCAGCTAAGCTGTTCCTAATTGCCTAACAGTTTATTAATAGGAAAGTTAATTACCCATGTGTACAACTGCTTCGTTTTTTTTTCTTTTCTTTAAATAATTACTCTACTGCACAGTTATCAGGGTACCACAGGCTCAAGAGTTACATAAAATATCCCACCATAAACAGGCCACAATTCTCATTCGCTGACAAGAAAAGAGTTTAAGTTAGTTCCTTACTAACAATGATATCACTGGTACATTTAATAATGGGAAAAAAACAGGAATAGACAAGTAATTTAAAGCACAGTCCATTGTAAAAATACCTCTTTATAAATACCTTATAAAGTTCCATCACCTAAATAACAGTGGAATTTTTTTGTTCCAGAATTAGTTTTGAGACACAGCTGAATGAATGACTTAGTACCAGCATAACAACAGTGAAGCCAGTGGTGGTTTTCCATGTTTAGTCACACAGAACTAGGAGGCTTTAAAGTACCCTAGCAAACTTCAGAATTCCTGTACAACTGAATTCATATCTCAGAACAACTCCAATTGGTCATTTCTTAAAGCATCTGTACATTTAAAGTCTCCTAGAACTCCATGACATAACATTTATAAAAAGAGAAGTTATCAAGTCTGATCTAATGAGAATGGTTCAAAACAACTAGGGTCTAGAAATTAAATACTTAAGAGACTACAGGATGGAGTAACCTCTCTTTAACAGACAAGGGATTCTGCTGTTTGCAAACATTTGGGATTTTTCCTTAAGGAACTCACCATGATAATCCCCTTGACTTGGTGGATTGGACATGATAATCTTCATGCAGCTGTATGGGGTATAATCAGTTCTCTTTCCTTCTTTCCCATAGCTGTGGCGAATGCTGTAAGCATATCCTTTGTCAAACTAAATAAAAATAGAAGAATAAATTTACATATTGTGCCAGTAATTCTATCTGATCTGCAAATAAAAATATGAAATAACAAAATAAATTTTCCAAACATACTCAAACAAGGAAAAATACAAATCTAGTTGCTTGCTGTTAGCTTTGGTTTTTATATTACAAGAACTCGCATATGAACATATACATTTTTTACAGACACATGGCAAGAGAAGGGTGTAACTGCATTGATTTAAGGTCTTTTCAGTTGATGCTGTAATGGCTTTAAATATAAGATGATATAAATTTTGAAGCCCACAGTGTCAGTAAATGGAGAAAATATCATAATTTAAAATCTTTCACAAATGTCCATAAATTGACTGCTTTATCAGGAAAAAAACCCCAGACATACAGATTTCTTTACTCAGGTTCACATTCTTGTTCTCCCAAAGTATAATGCTTCACCTATATTTTGCTTCAGCACCGAAGTTCAATTCATCAGATTCTAAAATGGAGCATACTTTGCTGATATGAAAAAGATTTTCTCTTTTGTCTACCAATAGACTACCAACTCCTCCTACAAAATGAAATCATCTAAAGTAATACAGATGTAATCAAATATTTATCTTACAGCTGAACACAGAGCTATCAATACATCATTTTAGATAAGTCTTGTGCAGAACACTCAATTACACGAGTTGATGTTATTTTTTATATGGCAATAGGTGATATAAAATCTGTAGTAGACTCAGATTACTTAACATACAGATTCCATTAAGCTGCATTAAGACATCAAGGAACATTTGTTCAAATACCATATTTCTAGTCCTAAAAAACACAAATATGATAAAATAATGAAGAATCATATTTAGAATCACACATGCTCAGTCTCTCTTTGCCTCAAAAAAACCCTTGACAATACATAAAAGAACTCTTCTCTTGCTCAATTCCAAATGTTAGCATTAACCTTAAGTAAAATTCTGCACCTGAATCTGGACAATTCCCACAAGAATTTAAGTTTTCTTCTCAACAACCACTTCAAATTAATTTTTTACTCTGGCTCTAGTATTTTACTAATAGAAGACAATGCAACATACTGAGCAAAATCATTCAGGCATGCAACTGGTAACAATACTACTGCAAGGATACTCTCATTTCTACAGATAAAAGAAGTTCCCTGTTTGGCCTGAGGATGAATAGTAATTCAGAATATTCAAATACCTATGGAATACCTTGACTAGCTAAAATATGTCAAACATAAAACAGAAATATAAGTGTATGTGTATTTTTCTTCCAATTTTTTAAAAATATAGATACCCAAAAATCTATAACTTAATATGCAAGTACGTGATAAATGTGTATAAAAATACACACAAACAGTGAGAATAAAATCCTAAATTGCACCTAATTTAAATGGTAAAAAAAAACCTTCTCCATCAAGATGCTGGTTATAATCAAGCCAATGCAAGAAGATGGCTAATATTCAGCACTCATCCCAAATAAGGCTTAAGATATCCAAAGCTCTGAACAAACATTGACTAATTAGTCCTCACTGTGCGTTTGACAAAGTGACTTTACTCTACTTTAAAAGATTTTTTTAAAAAGCGGGAAGGGGAAGAAAAGAAAGAGAGAAAACAGCATTTTGTTTTCCAGCATAGCCACAGGCAGAATCCAGCATTCCTATTTAGTCAACCTTTTTGCTCAGAAGATGAAAGAACTGCGTGATTGAACAGTAAATGAACACTACTTTTGATAGCAACAGGGCTGGGCTTACCATCTCTTCACTAGAAGGAAGAGCACAACTGAATGAGGATCTGCTCTAGGTGTGTGCATATACTCAAAAGGCTTGGGAGAAACAGCTCCCCTCCCCTTCACGGGGCAGCAGCAGGGCCAAGTCCTACTAAAAAACAGCAAATATCAAACATAAAGACACATGTATTTTAATTTCTAACCCCTACATGAATCTGGTAAATTGAATATGGAATCTGTACTCCTGTAGCCACCTATTCTTCTACCCAGAAGCTCTGGAATCTTTCCTCCTTTACAAAAGATGAATGAAAACACATTTCATTTGCTTAACAAAGGATATTTGAGCAAGCAATTAAATTAGACTAAATTATTTTTTTTCAAGGGAAAAGCAAATCATGAATGCTTCAGGATGTAGTGCTTAGTTTCCCAGAAAATTAACACCCCTCTTTAACAGTTCTGTGTACTAAAATCTTGAGTTGTACTTTTCACATCACTTGCCTTAATGCCCACAGAAATTACTTTTACTACCTAACTCATTACTTTATGCTGAGAAGCAGCTCTTGCAGTAAATAGAAACAACAGCTACACAATAACACAACACAGCCTTGGGACAGGTTGGATATTTTCTCCTTGCTTTCTTGTAATCCTGTTTGGTGCTCAAGAGTTTTTGCAGTGGCAGATGGCAGAGAATGACACAGCTACACGGTGTAAGTTGGCACATGCGTTTAGTTGCTTCACTAAGAGCTCTCTCATCCTTGTGGTTCAGCTCTTCTTATCATTGATCAAGTAAACAGGACTTTAGCAGGGCCAGTATCTGACAGGCTGTGTGACCATCCTCAGTGGGAACAAACCATGAATTGTGGCATTTCATTACAGAAAACACATCCTGCGGAACAGACCTCTCTGGGGAATTAACTCAATGATCAGCCTCATTCTTTCCTAATACTATCACTCTAGGATGTGCATAAACAGAAAAAAAAAAGGGAGGAGCAACACCTTTTGCTAGCAAAAGCACCAAGGTAAAGTTAGACCTGTCCAAAATATGCAGAAATAAGAAGGCCAAGGGATCTGTCTCTTCCTACTTACTCTAGCACCCCAAACCAAAATGGTTCCATTGAAACTCCTTAAACAAAATTAATAAATTATGCACAGTACATTTCATGCATGTAGGTGTTTGCAGGGTCATTCTAACTGCTTATAAATTGTTTGGTTTTAAACTATTTTGGAAAAATAGTTTAAAACCCTATAAAAGTATCACTGTCTATTCTAACTGTAATCTACTATAAGAGCATTATCGCAAAAACCTGTAGAAGGTCAAACTCAAATTACGTGATTTGAAAAATTCCAAAAATTTTTTTGTGTTTTTTATAAGAAAAATCAGGCTCTTATTGAAGCCTGATATGAACTTGCTCAATAATACTAACGCTGCAGGAGCATGTACATCTCCCTAGTACTCTGTGTGACAGTTTCCACTGAGACAAAAGAAAACAATACAAACCCAAAACATTATTCTATTTTCATAGAAAAAACATGTATGCCTACACATCCCACCACAGTCTGTGCTAAATATCAATGGAAACTTACTGCCAAAGTTACAATAAAACAGCAGTATAAAAGCAATATCATTACACTATTGAGTATCTACATGTACTAGATCACCTACTGCTGGTCACACTTGACAGCAAGGATTCTCTGCAACTTTTTAACTGTATAGCCACATCTCAACTACCTCAGTTATTTTGCCTCTATTTAGCTCTCTGAGCTTTCCAAAATCTGCAATGCATTTATAATTTATGTCCTGGGTGGATGGGCCACAGCTTTGGCGAGGGAGAAAGTGATCAAGAAATATGTCTCGTTTAAGCAGTGAACTGGTTCACACTGAAGCCAAGAAGCTGAGGCAAAGACAGCCCTACCAAACATTGTCACTTTGATCTTGGAATGTGCAAGCCTAGGCATTAGCAGCAGTGTGAACTTTTGTTTTAAAAGACTGCAAGTCAACTCTCCAAGGTTTAACCTGATCACTGAAGACAGCGTTTTTTGAGGACTTCTTTTTCCTTCAAGTATGGCTGTAGGATGAATGTGATGTCATCAGCAGTGCACTTCAGACAAGTGGGTAGTTTTGAGGTTTTATGCACCAGTATTTGCTGTAATGAACTGAGGTGTCCAGTGTATGGTACTGAATGTACCAATGATATCGTGTATCCTGATGGCACTGAGGCTTTCTTAGACTTCTTATCCCTATAAGAAACTAAGCTCTTAGCACTGATTAGTAGGACAAAACTAATAGTCCAAAGTCAGAATGAAGGAGGCTTGCAGGACAGTTCACTGGGTATTGATAAGTGTACTGTAGAAAGGAACTTACATTTTGCTTTGATGTGGTATATTCACAGGAGTATCAGAATAAAGCAGATTCACTTGCCTAATAAATATTAGTTAAGACACACATACTGTATTAGGTAGCCTTCACTAGAATATATACAAGTCATAAACTAAGGCATAAATAAAAAGGGATATATATACATATGTGTGTGTGTGTGCATGTGTGTGTGTCATGGTTTAGGAACGGTACTCCCCAGTTCAGTTCTCCCAAAGAGAATCCAAACCACATTGCCGCTTGCTCCCCCTTTACCCTCCCTCTTCCCACTCTGGCAGGATGGAATTGAGAATTGGAGGCACAAAAGGTGAAAGTCACGGGGTGAGATAAGAACAATTGACTGCAATGAGATACGAAAGCAAATAGTAACACACCAATACTAATAACATAAAGTGCAAGATAAAGAAATGATCTACACAGAAAACCTGCTGTGGTGGGTTGACCTTGGCTGGACGCCAGGTGCCCACCAAACTGCTCTATCACTTCCCTTCCCAACCTGACAGGGGGGAGAGAATAAGATGTAAAACAACCTGTAGATTGGAATAAGGCAGGTTACCAAAGCAAAAGAGAAAATTTGCATGTGTCTAAGTGAAGAGGAAAATAACAAGGTTTATTCTCTACTTCCCATTAGCAAGCGGTGTTTGGCTATTTTCCTGGGAAGCAGGGCTTCTGCACATGGAGTGGTTATTGTAGAAGGCAAACATTGTAAACAATGAATGCCTCCCCCTCTTCCTCCTCCTTTTATATCTGAGCTGAGGTCGTATGGTATGGAATATCCCTTTGCTTAGTTTGGGTCATTTGGTCTCCTTGTGTCCCCTCCCAGGATCTTGCCCGTCCCTCCGTCCTCCCTCCTTTCAATGGAGTGTGCAGGGGGAGGAATGTCAAGAGACAGTGCTGATGCTG